AGGGCCACTAAGGGGCCCCGAAGTGGAACAAAAAAATGCTCCTAGAGGCCTCCTTCATGGGTGCAGAATATTGACTGTGCACACAGTAATATTGGGGTTTTACAGTTCTGCACATGCGCGCACTGATTAAGTTTTGTTATTCATTCTGGTGCTTGGGTTTCTTCCACAGAGTACTGCTGTGTATGCTGACAGCTAACAATTATTATTAAACCTGCAATCACTTTATTACCACAACATACAACCACTGAAGCTTTGGACTTCAGTGGTGGATTGTCTGATGTTGTGAGTATGTTTGTGTGGAACCATTGTGCTTATTCGCAACATGGTGGACGGCTTCAGCCAGCCCGATCATCTAGTATTTGATGGTGTTACGGCCCTGGGCCTTGTAGGCTGGGCTGCAGGTGTTGCTTTTGTCTGTCTTTGTGCTCCTCCCCTTTGCACGTGTCTCTGGTCCGTTGATTGGGAGCGCAGAGTACTTGGGCCTGGCTGTCTCCGTCTTCTGTGTCGCCTTCAGCGTCCACTCTGCCGATTGACACTTGTGGTGTTTTGTTGCCAGGCCTCAGCTCCCCTCCTTTTTGCACATTTGAGTTTGTCTTTGTTTTTGCACTTCAACACTTCCATATGCACTCATACAACACATCCAAGCATTTGCATTACACCACTGATACTGATATCCACAATCCATTGTTGTTTTTGTTAATAAATATTAATTTAAATGCTCTTTAACCCCTGCATGGTCTCCCATTTTGTTATGACCTTGAGCCAGTCGTAATAGATGGCAATATAGTGGAGAAATGGCACGTATTTGAGCAGGAATACATTTTCATCGCAGCAGTGCACTCGATCATGCTGGCTCAGTCTCAAGCTTACATTCTTCTGAATCTGGCCGGGCCTGAAGCTATTGAACTCGAACGATCATTTGTGTATGCAGCTGAGATATGGAAGCCCAGTGGAGACGGGGAAGAAGTATGTGTCCTGGTTCCCATGGAATCCAGGGAAGACCCCTTTTCCCTCAAAAGAAAGTTTTGGGAAATGTGCAACCCCCAGACGAATATCAGTATGGAGAGACACAAATTCAGCACACGTAACCAAAGGGCTGGTGAGACTATTCAGTGATTTGAGAATAAAAGCCAAGAGTTGTAATTTTGGAGGGCTTTGTGAGGAACTCATCAGAGACAGACTGGTTTGTGGCATTGATAACGACCATCTCAGGAAAGTGCTTTTACGTGACCGTGATCCGACATTCACCAAGGTCATTTCAATATGTCAGATCCATGAGATGAGGAGCATAATAGAACATTAACATCACCACCTACCCTACTATCACAACTGTTGAGGCAGTTAAAATCACAAGTGAATGAGAGGAGGTGCTGACAAGATCAGATTTGACAGCAAACTGAATAATAAAACCACACAGTTTATTACTGACTGCAGTAATTGTGGTGGTAGTCTTGTGACAAAAAAGCACAAATGTCCTATTTTTGGTCAACAGTGTAATGGATGTAGGAAGATGAACCACTTTAGAAAGTGTTGCAGGTCCACGCCACAGCTTGACAGGCAAAGAAAAAGGAAGTCTGTCCACCAGGTGGACACTAAAAACACAGAAGCAAGTGACAATGAGATTTTCTGTCAATGGCATTACACTGGATATACCTGTTGATTCAACCATCACACAAAGTCATGGAAAGATGAGGTCCTTGTTACGATACGAATTAATGACACTGCAGTTGAAATGAAGTTAGACACAAGTGCCAAATGCAATGTCCTCTCAGCAGAGACTTTTGAACATGTAAGACAAAACGAACAACTGAAGTCCTGCAGCAAACCCACCCATCTTATAGCATGTGGTGGTAGTAAGATTGAAATTGCTGGATATGTTAGCCTATGCTACCATATCTATGGGCCAAACAATGTACTGTACCTTTCTACATTATCCATGAGACTGTATTACCACTACTTGGACTAAGTGCCTCACTGGAAATGGGACTTGTGACACTCAGCAAACAAAATTCGCTGTGGCTGCCCCCCCGTCTCTGGAACTCTCTCCCGGACTATGAGCGCTCCGCAACCACTGGTTGACTTTAAAAGATGCTTACGTGGAAAACATGGTTTACATAAAATGACTGTAAATTCCCACCCGTTTTGACCCCTTGAATACATCTAGGCCCCGTTTCCCCACCTTCACTTCAGTTTCACAGCCTTGTCGGGCTCATTAGTGTATATAGGCACCGGGTGTGCACGCCAATCTAAGAGTGTGTGCAGTTGGATCTTGGATGAGCGGTGGCGCCGGGCTCATCAGGTTGCTGCAAGAAGATCTGGATCGTTGCTATTTGTGCTACTGGATGCATTTCAGTGGCTTCTCACTGCAGCGTCTGAATGTACCTGTTGTGTGGCTGATTAAGATTGCTGCTGTTGTGTTATTATGCTCTCACCAAAGTGTATTTGTTTGGTAGTTTAGATGCTCTCAGCTAATCAATTAATAGGTCATCTTCTAGAGCTGGAGTTGTAGCACAAACGGTGCAGAACCAGAACAACAGTTTATATCTCCTTTTTTTGTGAATTAGCTTATGGGGCACATCCTTATAGGACTGGGTTGAGGCAATGTGGGATTTGTTTTTGTCTAACATTATTTTGCGTCATTAATTTGTGTTTCTACATAAATAAAGTACTTCTATCTATATTTTGTATACTATTTCTGTTTCATCATTCTAAGCCAGACCCACCTGGGTATTGTTAATTGGGAGACCCTGGGCCAATTGATATTATTTCAGTTGGCTTATGGCCACGTCCTCAGTCACAATCTGGGTTCTTTGCCCCGTGTCACATAGGATACAAGAATCATCCATGGTTGCCACCAATGAAAAAGACGAGATCAGAATATGCATCAGAATATGTTGAGTTTCAGACCTCAACTGTTCTCAAAAGACCACATCACCCAATGCAAACAGTATATGTTTATATTGGGTAGGGTAGGATGTCTAATGGTGTATTTTGAGTTTTAGATGCCAAGAACTTCTTCTGGCAGATTTCACTGGACCGCCATTCATCCCTGCTCACCACTTTAAGCATCCATTTTGGTTGTTACAGGTTTCTATGGATGCCATTTGGGATGAGCTCTGCGAGTGAGGTGTTCCAGGACATCATGGAACAAATTTTTGCTAGATATCCCAGTGCCATTATTGTGGACAACATACTCATTGGTGGCAAGGACATTGAGAATCATGATTGCCAACCTAAGAAAAGTACTCAACTGAGCCAGAGAGGTAAACCTAAGACTCAACCCTGAAGTTCAGACTGAACCAAGTTGGACATGTGTTTACTAATGGCTTAAAGGCAGACCTATCAAAAACAAAGGAAACTAGAAATGTTGCATTTCCTGTGAAATGTGAAAAAGTGTGAATGCTGAATGCTGCAGTTGGCGTTTGAAGCCAACTGCAAAAGACTTGCAGAAATTTAAGAAATGGGCAGAAGCACCACAAGAAATATCTTCCTCAGAGGGGAGCTGGTCCTTTTGTTGGAACAGCAGTAGAAATATCACAGGGTAGATTAACTGCCATCGTTTCAAAAACTGTTGAATATATCTCTATATGAAGATTATGTGGAGTTTGTGACAGGCTGTGAGACACCTTGTTTGCATTAGATTGTATTTTAATTTGGCTTGAACAGTGTCCAAGTAATACTATCACTTCATTTTGCAGAGTTAGCCATTTGTCCAAACTCCTAAAAATTTCAAGATATTTTGGCAAAAAAAAAAAACTTTATATTTTGTACACTATAGTTAAAATAGGGTGATGAAGTATTCATTTTTACACAAGCGGAATAGGCCTAAAACTGCTTGCATGTTTTCTTGTATCAGTTTATACTATTTTGAAAGAAATTAGTCTGAAAACTTTGAAGTCAAACAGTGTAGTTATGACTGTAATGAAAGAGAGGAGACAGGTAGTCGGATATATGGCATAGTTTTACTTCACATTTTTCCATTACAGAGTAACTCTTAAGTCTAAACACAGGTATTGGACAGCTTCTTAACATCGATACATGAGGCTGCATTAGCTAGTGGATACTGCATAGACACACAAACTCACTTACACACTCACAAAAATGACTAAATTTTCCACTACAAAGTTCAATGTCCCGCAACTGCTGTGCAGTCACAGAATGTAATGTGACCATGTGTTAGAAATGTCTTTAAGCCCACCCCCACCCCCCCACCTGTTTACTATCACATACAATCATTCACACTCACACACCAACTCCCCTGAAGCTGGAAAGGACTTTGGGGTGTCTCACATCCTGTCCTCTCCACAACATCAGTGCTTCAAAGTGACAGGAATCCTGGAGCAGAGCTGATAAAGCAATCTAAACTTCACAAATATGTATTGTAGTGGTTGGATCCACATCCCATTAAACAGCAGAAATCCATCTGAGCAGGATTTGCTGATGAGCAGAATTATGGACTTGTGGAAATGTAGATGAGCCCCATCTTTCTAACTACACTGGGCTGCCGATACAGGGCTTCGTTTCAAAACAAAAAAATATCCTCCATGTAAATGTTTGAGTAGTAATCCATATTTCCTTCAACAAAGTGTCACATCCGCAAACAGAGGAGTAAAATGGGACCTCACCTCTCCCTCGTCTGCACACATCTCTCCTGCAAAAGCAAAAATACAAACGGGAGATTTTATTTCTCTCTCTAAAATAAAGTTCCACCTCTACAAGATTTAAGACAGCAGTGATGAGATGGGGGCAATAAACTTCCTCTCTGCCTCCTTGAACTGTACGGTGAATAGGACTGTCTCATCTATGCACTCTAGTGTCCGTTCTGTTAACCTTCAGCAAACAAAGGGAATGTGTCCAAAAATAAAGTGATTCACTGGCACATATTTACATACACGATAAGAACAAGTGCACAAGCTGACAGAAATGAAGGGTCAACTCTGAGCAGGGCTGGATGAAAGGAATGAACAGGAGGATCCCAACACGTCAAGTGTATTTTTTTCTTTTGGCAGGAATGCTCGATTTTTCTTTCGCAGCTTTGACCACAGGGAATAGTGTGTGCGGGTTGGGAGTAGTAGTGTATGGGTGCGCCATTAATAGCTTCTCCTTCTTGTCTTCAAGGAATGTTGCACATATCTTTTCCAAAGCAGTCAGGATGAGCAGAATGAGACCCCAGCCACAAGACACACAAACACTGTCTTTCACACTCCTGGCCATACACACACCAGCTACACAGGTAAACCAACAAAAACTAGATTGTAGCATCATGTTAATAAACAAGTAAAAGATGAACTGGAATCAGAATCTGGGACAAAGATAATGACAATAATATTGCTGCAGGCAGCGACAGCACTTTCCCTTATGTAGGTTACACCATTTTTTATCCTCCCAACTTAAAGACTCTTTGCTGGAGGCAGGAGGACAGGTGTGGGAGGGGTGCTGTAGAGAGAGGTCGCTGGTGGGATGGGGGATGGTGGGAGTACTGGTCAGGACCTGGACTCTAGAACTGCTGGGCCAGCAGCTCACAGAGACGCTTGGACACGGAGTCTTTGCTGCAGCGCAGAGTCAGGCGATACATCTGTAAAGACACAGGTGAATACAGTGACCAAGCTGAAGAAAATGGAACAGGTCACATGATCCCATCTGGGATCCCTCTGGTACTACGGTCTCAGGTATCTGCAGGTTTCAGCAAGACAAATTTAAGAATTTTCAAAGCCACCATGAAAAAAATTTAAGACTAAAAAACTAATATAGGGGATGGTTGGGTGTTCCTGCTGCATTGCAATCAAGCAAAGCAAAAAATATGGCTCACTACATTAACTCCTGTAATGCCAAGCTTAAATAATACATAAATAGCCTTACAAAAGTTTTTAACTCCTAGATCAAATATATAAATTCAAGAGCAATATCTTGTTACAACTACAAACTTCCCTGTTATGACGAGATTTAAAAGGAAATGCAAGGCTTATTCAAACAAGAAGGTTTTTCATTGTGACAAAATCCCACTGACCGATTACGACCTGCGTAGGGGATGCCTCCTACTCTCCTCCATCCTTTTTCAGTTTTACTATTTCAACTTACCTTATTTAATTATTTCATATTTGGTTTTATCTGGTTCTGAATTTCAATCCAAACTCAGGCAGTTAAGGATGTTTTCACACCACGTAGTCCGCTAGACAGTTCGATTGGGGACCAAAATTGCAACATTTGTAACATTTTCAGCTGTTCCTGTTGTTGTTCGCCCTCACACTGCAACTGTGTCAAACGATCCAAACTAATTGGAAAAAAGCTACCCCTCAAACCTCTTGTTTGTGATGGCCCTGCACCAAGAACTGAAGGAAACAACACAAACTCCTGAAAAAGATCAGCACAACTTCCTTCTTCAAAAATGTAAACATAAATGGAGCGGTATCAGATTTTAGTGGTTAAACGATTTCTCCTTTGATACACACATTACTAGAGGGGGGAGAAGCAGGACTTCACAATTGTCTTTATTCATGCTTAACTGATGAACAAGCTTCCAGTCACTAGGTGGTGGCAGTGTTCACACTAATCAACAGACTGCCTGTTCAAAACAGTAGAAGTAGCTACACAGCACAATTGTAAACGGAGCACAGAATAGGAGAGATTTCATTTTCAAATACAAGAACAAAGTCATATTAGTAGAAAAGATGCAATATTGATGGAAGAAAGTCGTTAAACTAGGAGTAAAAAGTAATTTTAATTTAAAAAAAAAACACTCCTCAGAAGTTGTTTTGAAAATACTTGCTGTGTTTAAATTTGCCATTCCTATTTAGCCAAATTTAATGACAAGTCTTTTTGAGCAAAAGATCACTGCATGTTTGTGGCCCTACTTAACATGATAGTGTAAAATGAAAGATGTACCATACATTTCCCTTTTACAAAGATACACTTTTGTAATTTCAAATCTCTTCTAAAAAATTACAAAAACTGTCCATCTGCTTTAGCTATTTTTGTTGGCAGGTCAAACTGAGCTACTCTGAAACTGCTGCCAGGGGGCACACCAAATTATTCCAATGGCCACAAAAGGATCCTAATCCCCATTTTGGACTCCACTGTCCTGCAGTGAGCATATCAGAGCAGTCATATGAAAGAGAAGCATGAGTTTCCATGGTTACCAAAGGACTGTGACATTATGGATGCCCATACCTGAGCCTGAGCGTTTGGCTCCAGTCTTAGCAGACAGCCGACCTGCTGGCTCTTGGTCTGGATGACTCCAGCACAAACATAGTTCTCAGGGTTGGGATCAACGTTGTCCAGTAGGGCCATTCCTAACCCCAGCAGCTGTGAGCAAACAGAGCAGTAACATTAACACACAAAGCATGATTTAGATGACTCTAAAGAAACCAGGGGTACCTTTCTACACCATCTCAAACACTTCTTTCAAACCCTACCTTTGCTTTGATTACTTCGGTATCCATGCTGTGGTTGGCCTTGAATATCTTTTGTGCTTCTTGTTGAGGCCTGAAGAGATTTTAAAAACATTTAATTATCAAGTTTATTTCTATCTCATATTTCAGCAACAAGGCACATCAAAGTGTTCTACATCGTTCAGTCATACAGTCAATTGTGAAAACCAGTAGCAGACATTGCATTTCGCCAAATGCCATAAAACCCTTCATCATTTGTACTTTGATGGATGCAGTATTGAGCAAAAGTACTTAAAAATGCACAATTATCAAAGACTTACTTTTTCTAAATTAATCCAACTCAAGTAACGGTAACGGCAACGCACTAAGATGCAGCGGCTCGGCACTTTTCCTGCGTCTCGGTGGTATTAACTTGGATCATTTCACTTTATGTTGGGCGAACCACCTCTTGCCTAAACATGAACCACCGCTACAGTAAGCATGTTCTTCTGAAGATCGGTCTTTGCTGCGAACGGAGTGGTACAGCTGATTTTGTACACTCTCATAACATCCTGGAGGACATAGCAAGAACTCCCGGCTCTCCATGGATTACCAGTCCAGATTCAAAGACACACAGATGGCACAAAGAAAGAAAACAGAAGAGAGGCTGCAGAACCGGAGTTTTGGTAAGTCTACCAAGACAGCCTCATAAACCTCCACTTCCCAGCATTTTCCATTGAGCTAATAGGCTATACGACACGGCATTTTGATAGGACCGTGGACTCTGATAAGAGCAGAGGGGGAGGAGTCTGTGTGTATATCAACAACACCTGGTGTACAGACACTGTGACTGTGGACAGCCAGTGCACCTCTGACTTGGAGTATATGACTTTGAAATGCAGACCTTTCTACCTTCCCAGAGAGTTCAGTGTAATAATGATCACTGTCGTTTACATTCCACCCTCTGCCAATGCAAATTTGGCCCTCAGAATACTGTATAACAGCATTAATAACCAACAGAGCCGCTATCCAGATGCAGTTTTCATTATTGCTAGAGATTTTAATCATGTCAACTTAAAGGTAGTCCTCCCCAAATTCCATCAACATGTAAAGTGTGCTACCAGAGGACTCAATACATTGGATAAGGTCTTCTCTAACATTAAATTGGGTTATAGAACAGAACCAAGCAGTTACCTCACCTGATGCAGTCTGACCACATGTCACTGTTTTTGATTCCTGCATATACCACCCTGAGGAAATCTGAACGTTCCACCATAAGAACTATCACTAGCTGGCCTATTAGCTGGACTGTTTTGGAAGAACAAACTGGGATATTTTTGAACATACAAACCTGGAATTATTCACTGACAGTGTTCTTTGTTACATCAAAACCTGCACTGACATTGTTACTGTGAAAAAACGTATCAGGATCTTCCCAAACAGAAAGACATGGATGACCAGAGAAGTCCAGTGGCTGCTTAAAGAAAGAAATGCTGCTTTCAAGTCTGGGGACAAGGACCTCTACAGCTTGGCACAGAGCAACCTAAAAAGAGGAATCAGAACAGCTAAAAGGGACTACAAGGAGAGGATTGAAGAGCATTTGGACAACAACAACAACAACAACAACAACAGACAGGCTTGGTTGGGAATCCAGCACATCACCAACTATAGAACCAACCATGGAGCAGCCAAAGGTGACATCTCACTAGCAGAGAAGTTGAACCACCACTTTGCTCGTTTCGAGTCCGAGCCTCCTATGACAACTGTCTCTAATCAAGAAGTGCAACTAAGCACCTCTGAATTAGGAATTAGGAGTGAGACGCTCGCTACAATCTGTCAAACCCAGAAAGGAGGCGGGGCCTGATGGTGTTCCTGGATGAGTGCCGAGGGACTGTGCAGAGCAGTTGGCTGGGGTCTTTAATCAGTCCCTGTCTCAAGCCAGAATCCCATCCTCCCTGAAATCCTCCATCAGTTCCCATTCCTAAAAAAATAAAATCACCCATCACCTGCCTGAACGACTACCGACCAGTCTCACGCCATTGGTGATGAACTGTTTAGAAAGACTGGTTCAGTCATATTCAATCATTCATTCCTCACACCTTTGACACACACCAGTTTGCTTACAGAGCTAACAGGTCAACTGAAGATGCTGTTGCCATTGTCCTGCATGCTGTCTTGTCCCACCTGGAGCATCGAGATAGCTACACACGTATCCTCTTCATCGATTTCAGCTCAGCATTTAACACCATCCTCCCTGACAAATTAGTGCGTAAACTGGCAGACCTGGGAATCCCCTCTTCCACCTGTTGCTGGATTAAGGACTTCCTGACGAATCACAAACAAAGTCAGAATGGACCCCCATACCTCTTCATCCATCAACATCAGTAGTGGCTCTCCTCAAGGCTGTGTGCTGAGCCCTCTGCTCTTTATGCTGTACACACACGGTTGTGTTTCTGTCCATCAAAATACCACCCTCGTTAAATTTGCAGATGATACAACTGTAGTGGGCCTCATCTGAGGGGAACGATGAGTCTGCCTACAGGAACGAAGTGGAGCGACTGACAGAATGGTGCACTGACAACAACTTGATCCTAAACACAGCCAAGACCAAGGAGATCATAATGGATTTTAGGAGAATTAAAAGAGACATTGAACCACTAAACATCTGCGGAGAGCCTGTGGAGAGGGTGTCAAACTTCCGTTTCCTTGGAGTTCACATAAGGGATAACTTGGCCTGGGATGTAAACACAGCTGAAGTGGCAAAGAAGGCCCAGCAGAGACTCCATTTCCTGAGAATTCTGAGAATGAACAGTATTTCTCAAAAACTGCTGGTGTCCTTCTATCGATGCTCTATTGAAAGCATCATCTGCTATTGTCTCTGTGTGTGGTTCCCCAGCTGCACAGCAGCACAGAGGAAGACTCTCCAGAGAATCATAAAATCTGCTGAGAAGACCATTGGCTGCTCTCTGCCTTCTCTTGAAGATCTCCACAGGTCCTGCTGCCTCAGAAAGGCCAAGAATATTTTAAAAGACTCCTCACACCCTGGTCACAATTTGCTCCAGCTGCTGCCATCTGGCTGCAGATACAGGAGCATTAAAGCAAGAACTAACAAACTGAAGACAGTTTATACCCGGTAGCCAGAAGGGCATTAAATACCCTGTAGCAGTATTTTCATTAATTTCATTATAATCTATGTAAACCATTGCATGGTTTTATAATGACAAAGATTATTATTTATTATTATTTATTTAAGTAGAGTGAGTTGGAGAGACTTTTCAACTACAAATTCCAAGTAGTTTACTAAAAGTGAGTGTTAATAGTAACTTGATGAAAAATTATTTAAGTCATTTTACTATTTCCAGTTAAATTCAATTTTGCATTTACAGTGCATGCTTTCAGTCTAAATTTAAAGGAACTCAGTGTTTCAGCTGTTTTCCCATGACATTTGTTCAGGATTTGCACAGAATCTGAACGCTGCTTTCTTCATGTTTGGTTCTGGTTCCAAGGATGTAGAGCAGAACTAGAAGATCTGAGTGGTCCAGAAAGTTGACACAACAGCAGTAGTTCTTTAATGTACTTTGATGCTAAGCCATTCAATAATTTATAAAGTAACACAAGTATTTTAAAGTCTATTCTCCGAATTACAAGGAGCCAGTGGAAGGAGCTTAGAATTGGGGTGATGTGCTCCATCTTCCTGGTTTTAGAGAGAACGCCAGCAGCAGCGTTCTGGATCAGCTGCAGTTGGTGGATATTTTTAGGCCTATAATTTAGCAGTCAATGTGAATCAAACAGCAGCAAAACTTTGCAACAGCAGTGACTGTAATTAAGAGACACAGAGGTAAAGTTGAAATGTAAATCACAGATTGATTCAGGCTAATAGCCAATATGACAGGAGAGCCTGGGGAAGCGAGCCACACCCATCACACACTCACTGGCTGAGCTGTTTCCAGCGCTGGAAGAAGTCTTGAGAGGCCATCTCAGTCGGCTGGAAGAACTTATTGATGGTGACCGGCAGTTTGAGAGTCAGGTTCTGCAGAGCTCCTCCATATCTGACAGTAGAAGAAATAACCCCCAACCACCATAAGTTTAAAACATCATAGATTTACTGGGGAGAAAACTCAGTTTTTCTGAGATGTCTCATCCATGCTAGTTAACAACCTCTACATCCTTACGGCCATGCACGGCCATGCATAGCATCAACAACTGACAAAATTATGCCCCGTGTAGCCTGGTTGACTCACTCCAACCGAGTAGATGGAAACAAGCCTAATTTGTTTTTTTTTTCTTTTATTTTGACAACACTTCAAAAGTTTGCTTAAAATTCACAAGACAACTGGATGGAAATTAGGTCATATATGCAACCAAGTTGGTTGCAGATGAAACCCATTTTAGTGCATGCTGCTCATGTCTGACATTTATGTAAAACAGTAAATCTAAATCTTTGCTTTCACAGATTTCAATTTTCAGGTCAACAATATTTGTATTTTATGACTAAAGAGTAACAGTTTTATCATTCTCAATGCTTTTGCTTCTACACTTAAACCAAACTGCGACTGTTTGCTGGCTAGTGGAAAAGAAGTCAAAGCCTACCTGAACTTGATGTTGAGAAGTGGAGCATCGGAGAAGTCTGTCAGGCACTCGATGTTCAGGACCTGCTGGATTTGTGCTCCACCCTCCACTAGAGGTTCCACTGGTTTGCTCTGAACATTGAGCTGTAGTCAGTTGTCAAGGACTTCCAACTACACACTTGAGTCAGCCTGACATGGAGAAGAATGATAGCTACACATATGAGGAGCATAACTGGCATTTTTATATGGGTGTTTGTAAAGAGAGGATGATCCAGTTTCAGCTGGATGCTCTTCTTCAGCTTTCTTCTTCTACAGAAACTTTAACAAAGAATGGACAGAATTTAGTTCATTTAATAGATGCAATTAATTGTGTTAATTAATTTAAAGCATTAAAAGCTTTTGTGTATTCTGGTAACCTATTCCAAGGATATGAGACTGAAGCTCTCCGGGACAGCTCACTGTGGTGGTAAAGCTGGCGAACTGTACTGATGTCTTGTTACCATAGAACAAGTACATTCTCCCTGAGGAAGGAGAACACATTCACTTAACATGGAGAGGGAACAAAGAGACTCAAACTCAGCAGGCAAAGTCTCACACACTAACTGAGCCACACATTCATAGGAAGCCTTGCAAAGATTTTCATTTTCTGCAGTATGTAGACTTGGGGTAGTTTTTAAAGTTGACTGCAACATGATAAAAGTCAAGCGAACGTTGACTAGTCGCACTGACGTCATTAATACTTCAGGATTTACTAGCAAAATTAACAGCAAATATTAATAAAAAAAAAGTTTATAATAAGTCAACAGACTTATTCTGTATAATAATACAGAATTAAAAGAACAAGAATCAGAACATTATCTCGGACTTCTTTGTTAGCAGTGGAGCAGAAAGGGTCCCAAAAATTGCACAAAGTTGGGTTTGACTTTTTTTCTCCCCCGAGCTGATGTTACTAATGATCGCATATCCTCATTTTGGATAGCTGCACATATAAGAGTCAAATTATTATTTTGACCACGATTGTGCTTTTGGAACATCATAAACCAAGCTTATTATGAACGCATTCCGTCTGACTGCAGTTAACCCAAATTGCTTTACAGCTGGTGGTTCTTCTTTGTACCATAATCCTGTGATGACTTTTTTAGTTAAAGAAAGCAATATTTTTACACGGTACTCATCATCTTTTTGATTGTCATGTGCAACACACCCCAGAGTATCCTACATGATCTGGGTATTCCATATCCTATTTTTTTTCCAAAGTAAAACATATGTTAACCCAGTATCCAGTTAACTTTTGACAGAATTAGAATATTTGTGTCTATCTGACCAGAGTCGGATAGATGTAGGCCTTGGGATACCATCCTCTTCCCAATTTTCTTTCTTTGGTAAGTTTTTAAAAATCAACTCCCTTGTGACCAACTACCTTCGGAAGACAAAAATAATGTTAATCTTTCTCTTCCTTAGTATTGTAGGAACAACGGTATCAGACACATACTTTAGGCATTTTGATGCTGGATCAACAGATGTAAATGGTCTGCATTTACTTCCTGACCCCCATCTGTATTGTGTGACGTCAGTACTACGTCATCTGCGACCCAGCAATAGGGTTCCATTGATGTCAAGGTGACAGCAAAACAATCTACCCAATATGATGGAACATGTTAATACACACAAAGCATCACATATTGATGCAGAGTAAACTCACCTAGGTTCTGTCTGTACTCTGACTTTATGCCAATCTGCAGAAGCTGATTTTCAAACAGAACCCCATTGTTCTTGCAGACAAACCTGGAGGGAAACAATTCATTTGTTAAAATGTACTTTCATGCTTACTTCACCAATTGTTCTTATTGTATCCCTGACATGGATGTTGTAATCATTTAGACAGCAGTTCACCAGAGAAAAACTAATGTGGCAATCATACCTCCAGTTGCTATTTATCTACACTAAACCAAATTGAATAATTGACAATAGTCAAACAACTGAAATAGAAGGAAATTAAAGCAAAAATGATTATTATTGTTGTGAGAATTATTGTTTTACCTTAAAGGATTTGGATCAATTTCAGCTTAAATATGAAATTAAAACTGGACAGGAACCGGATGGACCAGTAGGAGATATTAAGTGCAGTCCTAATGCCTGGTTCACACGGCAAGAATTCAAAATTGTAAATTTTCAAAACCTGAATTTTTAAAACGTGACAATAAAAAAAATCTTAGCTACAACAGGTTTGGTCATACAGTGTGTGGTTTCCAGCCACACACAAATCGATTGCACTCACCAACGTTGAGATGTCTAATAGAAAATCCTGTAGAAGACTGATTATGAAGTTTTTTTAAGGGATAAAAAAAGATGAAAAAAAAAAAAGCTCTGCAGTAAAGAAATGGAGATGCTGCGAGAAGGTGCTCAACTTGTTACACTACGAAAATGAAAGGAGTTCTGCTTTTTTCTTTTTTTCCATAGCAACACCAGAAAAAGAGTAGCCATAACAGTTGTTCTGTGTTTTGGATTCCTGTCTGTGTTTATATTGCCTTGCTTTCCAATTAGCTGCACGTCACATTCAACATGTTGCATTCTTGGTCAAGCCAAACCAACACATTGAATATCCCCCATTTTAGATTGATGCAGTCCAGATGTCCTTCTGATCGGATCAGATCACTCTTAACGCACCAAGAATATCTCTTAAGGTTATCCTAAGAACCATCCTGATAATCAGGGTGTTCTTAAGATTGTCTGAAGGGGAGAAGCTGGACAAAAATGGGCAAATCTTGCCGGGTGAACTAGGCATAAACTACATAATTGGAATTACAAGTGAGGTTGTGGTGGAATATTGGCTAAACAAAGCATCTAAAAGAGGGGTTAGAACCCTGCCTAAAAGCTGCTTACTGAACACTGCAAAATGTACGGAAGACAACCTTACTTGTTAAGAAGCTCCTCTGCTTCAGATAAAGGAGGAGCAGGATCCTCAGAGGGAGGAGCAGAGCTGAGAGACCACAGGACAGCACAAGGATGAACAGGCAGCCCAGAGACGAGCAAACAGGATAATCCAAAAACAAGACGAAGAAGAGATGGGAGATCACAAAGCCATTGTTTTAACAGGACAGCAATGAAGAATCGAGAGGAGCCACAGGAGGGGAAGACAGAGGGACAAGGGAATAAAATGCAGAGGTTGTTAGTAAAAGCATTTTAACCCAAAATATGACATAATTGGAGCCATTTAGTTGAACAGTTGTGCAACCCATTGGCATGTACTCTACATATGTCTGGTAAGTCTCTCAAGCTTTACAGCTGTGCTGAAGCAAGTGGGAAATGAATGAAAGGAATAGATATTGTTTGAGTCACTAATTCTGCCTAATGCATCAGAGCGGCACTGAGCTGCAAGTGTCTCCAACACTGCTTGCAGCTTTAATTTTAAGTGTATTTCTTTTATATTTAACTATATAAACCCACAACTACACAGTTGTGGGTTTAAATAGCATTTCACTGACAATGTCTTCCTGTATTATATACAATTACTCTGTAATATTTTACATTTCCTGTTAACTTAACGTCTTTTAATACAAAAGCACGGTGGGCCGCTGGTGGACCGTCTCGGTGCCCTGACCACCGGGCTTAGCTAGTTTTCTGGGGGAAACCCTGTAGTTGCCTTACAGAAGTAACTTCATCTTTGCTAACTCCTTGAAAACTTAAACTTTATTACTTTAATGATTACTTGATTTTAAAAGCAACTTTGTTAGATTACAAGTTACTTAATTAGTTTCAGCAGCTGCCTACAACAGTTGGGGAATATGATGGAATGGATAATATTGGGTGTTTTCGTATTTGCCATATTGTAATTTATAATATGAGAAAAATGTGTTGTACTACCAGATTATTTCACTTATAACTAGTACCATTTCATCAAAATCAAAAACTTCTTGACTTAGAACCAGCCTGTATTTTATACTGAAAAGTGACTTGTACATTAGCACACTTGAATTAAAACAAAACCAAGATATTTCGACTAGAAACTAGACCAATAAAACTTGGTGAGATTGTGTTTTACCATGTACCACGACTTTCCACAAAACTCCCTGCACCATCAACTTTCTCTTTCTCTTTAAATTTGAAAAAAACAAAAAAAAAACACAAATGTAACAAAGAAATATTGGTACATATATTGTTTCTGTATATTGTTTGAGAAAAAAAAAAAAACTTTGTAACTGGTGTCCAAAATGTGGCAAATGGAAAGAAGTACAACAAAAAACAATTAACCAAAGCTTTTCTTTCATGACAGCTGATTATGGTAATGTTGCTGTTCAGAGGGAAAAACCATCACCACGTCAGGTGTCTAAATAAAGCTAATGTGTTGGAAGGCTTGCCCCTCAGTAAGACAGCATAATTATACAGGCTAGTTTAACAATATGAATTGATGAGGTGCCACATTTGTATTTCTTGATTAAGTCTACTACAGGGACCTTACTCCGAGTCACCAGAACCCTCCACCAAAAGAGGATCGGAGGTCTCAGGGGCTTGTTCCAGATCTCTGTCAGTATACAATCACGATAGAGGACAGGGAACAGACACACAGTCAAGTCAAAACACACGCACACACACAAAGAGGGAAATAAGAGAAAGGGGAAGGAGAGAAAAAGACGAAAGACAGTCACATACAGAGCAAGATAATGAATCAACAAGTGTAACAGATCTGCCAACCCTGAAGTATACATCAGTGATCAGTCCTCCAGTCAGATTGCTACAGAACAGTTTCTCTTTTGTCCTAAGGTTTACCTTACAAGACCTCAAGTTGAAGAAAAATAAAATGAGAGTCCTGACCGAGAACTTTACGTTGATGGTATTTCTGCGTTCTGGCCAGTATAGGAGACACTAGTCTAGTATTCTAGTCTAGTATCAGAGGTCTCTGATTAAAGCCAACAGTGTCACAATCAACCAGCACTAAAGACAAACAGAAGCTTTTATTTTACTTGATTCTAATTTTCTGAATAAAGAACTGGTTGATGAAAAGAATCAGAATTTAAAATAGACTGGCCCTGACCGCTGGTCAGTCTGGCTGGATCTGGAAATGTTAACAGCCTCAATGACAAAAAGGATTTATAATCCCAAAGGATTGCATATAGAAACTCATACAGTCCTGTTGATCATGCCAAATCAATAATATAAGCTGGCAAAGACTTTAAAATGTCAGTTCAAGGTGGAGAATTGTTTAGACTTTGTTTTAAGCTGCTTGTCAATTTGAAACAAAGACAATCAGTTTTAAAATGATGTCTTTATATGTTCCTCAAATATAATTAATGATATCTCACAACAGAATGGCAAGAGCAAAATATCTTCACAATATTATTTATAATCCTTAAAGAAAATTTTAAATAAATCAGGCCAAAGCTTTAGAAAAACGAGAAACTGGAAATCTGAGTCTGATCCATGCAGCTCTAATGGTTAAAACATTAGAGCCACAGCTTGTGTTTAAGAGACTTTAGATTGCAGCAGTGTTCAGGCAGTGGGCTGTTTGGATTTTAGCTTTAAACCTTCAGCTCATTTAACTTCTATCTAGAACCAGACTGCATAATAAGATGACTCCAACACCACCTGAATGAGCAAGGTTCATGAAAATATTAGTGGTTCATAAATGAAGGTCTGGAGGAAACCTTATTTGAAGTTCGTTCTTTAATGACTTTTGGACTAATAATCTTCAGGTTGACGGGTCTGAATGAGACGAAAATAAAGCAAAGACATACAGAGCCAACAGATTCACAACACAACCAACACAAACACACTAATTTATAAACACCAACAGACCACAACCATTTACAAGTGAAGGTAAACATTTTTTTGCATATTGTTACTTTTGTCACTCATTTCAGAAATACTGGAACTCAGATTTACTTCATAGTAGGGGTTGCACTAGTTGACTAGTTGAGTCCTTATTCCAATAACTTTTTACAGAGATACTTGACAGTCGCAATCACGTAACAAAACTGAATTAAAAAAAAAAAGACAGATGGACTAGGTGAGTTCATCAAACAGTTTGAATTGTTTGCAAATGTAAATTTACCAAATTTACATTTGCAACCCCCAAACCCCAGAGAATGCTATCCCGGATTAGGGGCGTTGCATGTCAGAGGTCCGCGCGGCACCCTGCATATAAAGGCTGTAAACTGCAGTAGTCTAGAGTTCGACTCCCATGCTCTGTTCCCTTGGCCAGGTCTCTCTCTCCTGCCCCTCTTCTCTCAGCCCCCTTCCTGTCAGATTTCTGTCAAAGAAAGGCAACTAGTGCTTAAAAAAAATAAATGAATAACTAATAATTTAAAAAAAAGACTAGGGCAATACTGTGCAGCAATGCGTTAGGTCACGCTTTTAATCCATCCAACTGATCAGCATCACCCTGTGTTGAAGCTTCTAACCTGGCAGCTTCACGCTTTTATAAAAAACACTTTTACAACATCTGGAAATGAAGTTCAGGATGCATTCTGAGGATCTGACAGAAGCTAGCTATGCAGCTGTCTGTATGTCAGGTCATCCTGCAAAGTCAGCGAGCTGCTGCCAAGTCAGTGGAATGTCCTGCTACGCGTCAGGAAAGGGGAGCAGCAGGTGGCCGCGCTGAATTCAATTGCAGTCAAATTGTATGCTCATCTTGTTTATGATTAGCAAGGTTTGCATACCTGATCATCAGAACCAGCTGGTGTTCAGGAAAAAAGTCAGGCTCTACTTTGTGCAACCTTTCAGACCACCTCTGCTCTGCTGCTGATGAAGAAGTCTGAGATAATGTTCTGATTCTTGTTTTTTTTAATTCTGCATAACAGATTTAGGCTTAATATTAGTGGAGGTTTTCTTCAATATGTGCTGTGAATTTACCTAACAAAGCCTGTAAGTTGCTGTGAAATATTTTCGCTTACGTTTCTATGTCACTGCAGCTAGTCAACGTTGACTCGACTTTTAACATGTTGAAGTCAACTTTTAAAAAAATATGTTGTTCAACTCCTACTACATAGTGAAACATTTTAAGCTTTTTGTCTTGCAATCTTAATGATTAAAACTTACAAATAATAAAAACCACAATTAAAATCTCAAACATTTTTGATATTGCAAAAATGTTTAAGCATATTCATTGAAAGTCGAGTGGGAGGAAAAATGTGACAGTAAAAATGTGCTTGACTTGCCAGCAAATGGGCTTAGGCCAGAACCCCATAGAAATGCAATGTAGAATGGTCAAGAAGAAAATGAGAGACACCAGAAGGAACAAAGCAAGTCAACCGAAAGCAGCTATGTCCAACTGGTAATGAATCTATAACAAAATATGTATAATTTACAAGTTTCACTTTCTGAAATGACTGATTTTTTTTTTTTTTTTTTAACTTTTTCCAGACACTCATTTTTGGAGCTGTACTTGTAGACTGGTCAACATCAACAATACATGACGTGCTGTATGTGTGATGGCCATTCAGGTCCAGTATGAGAGCTGCTATTTACGAATACTAAGGGTAGTTAGGAGTGACGCAAACAGAGAAGCACATCTCTTTGTCTATTTGTAGTTTTTTAAAGTTATTTTGCTCTTCTAAAAAACATTGTTCTTCAAGAACGGAGTGCTGCTTTAAGTGAAATCCTTTTAGTGGAAACAGATGTGCAGCATGTAATTCCCTCCTGACTGGAGGGAATTCTGCTTCTTTCTTGGTTACACTGTCAATGGTGCATTTCTCTTAAGAAGATTAAATCCTTCAGACTAGCTTGGACCAATCAGTCATTAAATGAATGACACAAATAACTAGAGGTGCAGTCATTCATACTGGACTTTATCTGGACGATTCTGAACCTGCTGATCAACAGAGTAGGATTTTCACCTGAGGAAGCCGTCATCGTTCACTGCGCCAGAAGATGCAGCGGGTCCCGCCTCTGAAAAAACATCCACCAGTAGACTGCCTGCGCTGGCTGGAGCGTTGCTAACTGGAGCTGCAGAACGAATCCCCAGCAAGTCGGCTGATGGAGATGGGGTAGACTGGAAAACATGGAGACTTAAGAGCACAGTCTGACCAGGGATGGGGATTTTAGAACACAGAGGGAACTTACTGCGTTAGAGGCAGCCATGACTGATGGGTCCGGACCCCGTTCTCCTGCTCCGTTCAACTCGCCGCTCTCTCTTTTGCTGTCTTCTAGCTCAGTGACAGAAACTGCCCCCGGCCCCTTCTTCTTCTTTAGCTTAGCGAGAATTGATGACTCCCTTTCAGGGAATGGAGGCATCTCTTCCAAAACAGTGGCCTGAGAGAAAGGAGACCAAAACCTTTGCAAGTGGAATTCTTTTACACGGCTGAGTTTGATCAAAGCGGGCGGTTGGAACTACCAGGACATCAGTGCTGGCAATAGAAGAGAGCTTCAAATACTCCACAGCTCGCTGCTGCAGTTCAACATCCGAGTTGCGGATCTGGCTATCGCAGCGCAACACCTCTTGGATAGTGGCCTTTGTTTCTGGGAACAGGTTAATAAACTTGATGTAAGCCGACAGAAGGAGGGCACGGGTCGGCACAGAGCACAAATGGAACTTAGAGTGGAGAAGGTTGAACTGGACCAGGGGACTAGAGAAAAAAAAAAACAACAACAAGGTGAACATTAAGCCTCAAATATCAGATGTGTACAGAGCAGTACAAATTGGAACGTACCTGGACCGGGGGTCCCCAGCAATCAGATTCCCAAATTCTCCCAGAATGTACCCTCCAACCTTCACCATGTTCTCATGGCATGCCGGGGCTTGCAGGGCCTGCAACAAAATCATTCCACTCTCATATATTTAAGCTAAAACTGAAGCATTTTAAGAGCTTTTTGGATAGCTTGGTTGTTTGAAAGTGAATGGAAGAGTCGTTGACCAATACATTATTAAACATCTGATGAGCATGTCGAGTTGTGTTTGCTCTAAGAAACATTTTTTAACTTCTAGTGTTGCCTCTACAACTACAGGTCCAGTGCCATAAATATTTACATTATAAGCAAAAGCAAAGTGTTAAATGCATTTCTTTAGAAACAGAAATCAAAGTACTCCAGTTTGGATGGATAAAAAAAAAAAAAGGATGTTGAGTTCATTAGAGCGAACTAATCTTTCAGCGAACTACACTTGTCACACTGGTAAAATGGTCATTATACAGCAAAACTAAGAAATGTAAATTTTACACTAGAAACTAAAAGATTTTTTTTTCCCAAGTGTTTCCAGAAAGCTCTAACCACCACCCCTCCATGGTATTTAAAGTTACTTTTTCAAAGTAACTATGCCATCACTGATCACATGACTATATTAGACATGGAAAATTGGAACAAAAGTTGGTCACAAAACCTTAGTGCATCTATAAAATATTGCAGTGGGTAAATTATTTGGCAGAGGTACCTCAAAGACTGTCTTGGCAGCGTAGCCTTGCACATCATCTCGGTTGATCACGATCTGAATGACCCGGTACCAAACCTCTTCGCTGACATAGTCCCCAGCAATGCGGATGAGGTTAAGAATTGTGTCTACATACCAGGAGTAATCCACAGCGTACTTCTCTGCAAGGATGGCTACTTTCAGCACCTAAATGGAAACAGTACAAGTCTGTCAATGTTTTGGCAATTGTGTACATTCCACTCTCAGTTTTGGCATCACTACTGCCGACATTTTATGTGACGCCATCCACTTAGTCGTTTCCGTACTCCAATTGAATTGTGCCAATTGCTTGTGATTTCAACCATTCTGCACTCTCTGCACCGACAGTTTTTCAGCTACTGTTGATGCAGTTTAGTACTGCATCTACAGTATTAAACATATCCAAATGTTGGACTTGCTTAATAAAATTGTAAGGGATTCGTATATCTCCAAAGTAAAACGTTCTCTTGGAAAAAAAAATCTTAATCTTGTTTTTCTATGCTTTAAGTATGAACATAATGTTTAGAGGCAACCTGTAATTAGAATAACAAAAAAAATCTCACAGGAAGATTGTTGTTTGGGTTGTTTTGTTCTGCAGCTACAGACTGTTGCTCTGTGCCAGCCACATGGAGATGGCACCAATGCCATAACTGAGTGTTTAAAAATGTTGCTATTCTGCCAAAATAACTAACATAAAATGATTCCTTTATTGAAACCATTTACCTTTGATTACTTTCACTGATAACACTTAATGGATTACACACTGAAGAAAAAATTAACAATACTCATATATTCCCATTAGTGTTAGACTCAAAGTGAATGAGAATAGTTGGTGGTAATCTGCTTCATCAATTCGCAAATTCTTCAGGGCATCATTGTCTCACACGCACCATCTCTTCTCTGATGGAATAGTCCGCTGTCTCCAGGTAGCTCAGCATCTCCGCTACAATCTGCTTAGCATTGCTGCGATCACACATAGCATAAAGCAGATCAGCCGCCCGCTGTCGAACACTTACATCTCTTTCAGTCTAAAAGAAAAAAAATTGAAAATAAATTGAAGGTCACCATGCACATCTATTCTCCATTATAGATATGAATATAAGTATTTTTTCTGTGAGGCAGCACCTTGAGTGCATTGATAACGGTCTCGATGTGAGTCTTGACAGCTTCGTGGGAGAACTCTGAGCTGGCCAGAGTACACATGCTTTCCAGAGCTAGGTAACGTAGATTGGTCTCTCTGTGTTGCAGGAACTGGCCAAGTTGGTTGCAGGCTCGCACCAGAAGGTTTGGCTCACTGGCAAACAAAAAAATGATTGCTTCACAAACAGCACAGCTAAGCTATAACTACAGATATTAGACATAATGCGTAAAGTAGGGGCAGGTCACACGCGCACACACACAGCAACATCATGTCACAAAGAAATAAAACTAAATTATAATGAAAAACCCAAAACTATTACAACCCTGACAGCCATAAGCCAACTTTCTGCTACCTTAAATCTCCTGTCATGTAGCTGCAAAAAAAACAAACAAAAACAAAACAAAACAAAAAAAACTTACCTGTCATAGTGGATGATAAGTGATATAGCCTCAAACAAGATGGCGTTCTTGGCATTGGAATGCTGCACCTTCTTAGATTTGGGCGGCTCCTGAGCTTTATTCAGGATAGTCTCCAGACACTCTACCAGACGGCCTTTGACTGCACCATCTTCTGGTGGAGGGTAACACTGCAGCAATCGCAGCAGTTTGCAGGACAGCCATGGGGCAGGTACAAAATAATAGGTATAATCCTGCAGATCAGTTGAGGCTGATGACACAATCTGTGGGCAAAGAGAGAAAAAAACAAAGTCTCTTATTTATTACAAAAATAATTCTTTCAGAGTTTTTTACAATGGCAGGAGATGATGGCCTATTAGCAAATGCTCATTTGCTAATAGAGCTTTGGAACGTGACGTCACTGCTGTAGACGGAGGGATATCAGCGTCATCTTTGGTGTCCATAAACATAGCCGACAAGAACATTCTTTTTTAAATCCAAGTTACCTAAAATAATTTAGCTATGGTACGAACTTGCTGCGTTATTGAATGCAATGTCCGATCACACGACAAACGTTAAAAAGATGGAAAACTGACTTTTGTTTCACTATTGTCCTGCTTGGAAACAATGAGACGAGGCTAAGCTATTGGAGCTAACGAAAAGAAAACGTATGTCCTGGGATCAGCGGTGAGACGTCCATTCTCAAACATCCCCAGATGCCTACAAGTTTGCTCCAGACATTTCCATTCTGGTGAGTGTCTAAATTCGCTTTGTTGGTGTTGCGTCATAATTTTTTGCTATGGTTTTGTCCGGGTGTACTCATGTTCAGTTTATGTTGAGTTCATTTAAGTGGGTCAACCTTGTTTAGGTCTGGCTTATATTGTTTATGTAGCGTAGTCCGAGTTTTGTCAGTGTACATCGAGGTTATTCCATTATTGTGAAGTAAACTATTTAAGTTTTCTAGTGTAATCAAATTTACAGCATTAATACTGATGTGTGTTCTGATATGTCCTCTTAAAGGCAAACCGACGTATGAAATGGATTAGCTCAATCCACTGGGTTCCAGCGCTGAATATGGGTCACTGCGAGGTAAACACCACAACATCGGACCGACATGTGCGTCAATTAAAGAGGCGATACAGCAAAACCATGGTGGATCAACAAGTTACAGAGACTGTTTTCATTATTTACCCCAGAAGAGGTAAATAATGAAAACACAGTAGCAGAGGCAATAGAAGAGGAGCAAGTTGGAGAGGCTGAGGAGGAAACGCCAGGAGAGGAGCTCAGCAAGGCTGCAGACTCTGAAGAGGAACATAAACCATTTGTGTTGAAATACAGTTGGAAGTGGCTGCAGGGCTTAAAGTAAAAAAACATCCTGAGCCTGAAACTTATATTGGTGATAGAAATGAACTATAGCGTTGCTATTGCCACAGTTTAATAAAAAGTGTCTTTGAATAATGCATACAATTGCTTCTAACAATACAATTAACAATACAATTAGCTAAACACTCAAACTTAAGACTTCAGTACATTTCAAAACAAAATGTAAGATGTCTGTGCCCTAAAGGTTTGCCTTACAGGCAAAAATCCCTCAACATTAAATAAGAGTCCTTTCAGTCAATGTTTTTGCAAGTAATTTAGAACATGCAACATTACCAACTAAATCAGTTTCTCAACCTTTTTCGGGCCAGCGCCCCCATATCCTTTATACAGGTCCCTCCAACAAAAAATTTGCAGGCTACTTTGCACTGACTATTATTAATATTAATATTA